TATATAACGCCAATTAGAAATGGAACGCCTGTTAAAACAAGATTGAGAAGATCTAATTGAACAGAACAGGAATGTAAACAGAAAGTTAATGTAAATAACAACAGGAATGAATGAATGATAAAGTTTGTAAGCGATGATTGATTGAAGATGTATAAATGAAGTATTTAATGTATGATTTTTTACATTTTACGAAGTCACTATGTAATTGTGCGTAAAATAAAAAAATTCGCTTTCTCCACCACCTTATCGTTCGTTCACTGCAATTATACTGAAATTCTGATTAATCCTTTTTGGACAAAAATAATTCATCTACTGTCTTGTGGATTACATTTACGTTTTGGTTTTATAAATGCATGAATAGTCTTTCATAGCAGAAGGCCTATGTTTTGATAAGTTTATAGGAAACTCGATCACTCAAACAGTCTTATTTCTGTAACTGTATTAATCAATATCCCAGTGGTACAACGGGCAAATGTACGATGATTTGTCTAAAAAACTGTCAATCATTTCATCATCGACTAATTATCAGTAACAGGTGAAGAGATAAAAATAAAAACGTGTAGCTATTTAAAGACAGATATACAATTAAAAAACTATCTACATTTAAAAGTAATTGGAATACAGTTTTCCCCATGTAATAATAACAGTATAACTTCGATTGGAATAAATTTACGCAATATCAATTCGTAGCTGTGCTCTCAGTAGTCAACAGCATAAAGATGGTACTCTCAATGTTTTAATGAGCAGCGTAAAATGCTGAGTTCTCTTAAATTAAATGTAAAACAGTAGCTCAGTGATGATTTTAAATAACGAATTGGCTAGACTTCAAAAAAAATTCTTTTAGCTCAATGACAGAGTGAGCTCTATTAAATCTGATTGTTTTACTGATGTAATCTATGAATTTATGGTTGTTAACTATACTTTGAACAATTGATGAATCCAATAATACTACCGGTTTTTTAACTACCTGAATACTAAGCTTTTAATCCTGAAGTCCTAGGGGAAAGTTGTCAACAACCGAGTTCAGAAATATTTGTACTTATACAGTTGTCATCAATCTCATAGAATGACTGTTATGCCACATCCTGACTGAATTAAACTTGGAAGTGTATACCACTTGAGACTAGCCTAACAGATGTGGACAGAGGAAAAAAGAAGATTTGACAAAAAATGAAAGCTATTTTTGGGGACGTTATTTCACTTAATTCAAAGCTTGTTAAACATTAACATTCAGTTTTGTCCTTAGTTTATTCTACAAACCATAAGCTGTCGTTTGATCTATGATTAACTGCCATACCCTTTTCTATTTTGAAGCTATTGTAATTAAAACGTAGTCTTATATAATCTATTTTCTACTCTAATCCCCAGTTTTGGACATAACTGTGTTTTTCTGGTTGTTTGTGCCTTGTGGTCATGTTAGTCATCTATTTATTTATTCATGTATTTCTTTCGCACTAACCGAATCGGAGTTATAAATCGTAGTCAGGACTAAATCGAGTAGTATATCAGTTGACTCGTCTTCTCTCACGCGCGCTTTTCAAACAATCACGTGATAAAATGGTTTTCGTTTCTACCCAAGGCAGTTAGTCTCACTTCGGATTTAAGCATACTAGCCTAAAGGTTAAACCAGTCAGTCACATTATCATGGCCTTAATCTAGATTGAGACAAGCTATCTTCTATATATTGATGGGTAGACAGATCAAGGACGTAACAATCGCAAACCTGAATGTTAGTAGGTCTTTGCTCCGACCTACAGTGCGGTTGTGAGTGTACAGTACTCAAAGGCTCTCTTTTAATACAAAACTGTCACACACTGCGTCCTATCTTATACTACCGGTTTAAATAATGTTAATCTATGATACAAAAAAACTACAGAAAATCATGTTTTTGACTTCTTGATTTTAGTGAAAGAATGAAAATATTGATCGAATTTTTCCCTTAAAAGCCAAACTTTACAATATATACAAGAAAAAAAACAAAACAGAAAAACTGTTATTTAAAGAAAAAATAGAAGCATAATTTTAAAATTTTTATTTGATTTACATAGAAACAAGAAATCCAAAAAAGTCTATAAATTATATGGTTTCTATGTTCATAACAAATTAATCAAATTACATAGAGATCTATGGCAACTTGAACCAAATACATAGAGATATGATACTAAATGAATAAGTCTTTAAAAAATTAAAACAAAACTGTGAAACGATAATTTATGAACGACCTTGAAGTGACGCTAAAGTGACCCTAACAATGTTCACCGTCATTCAACGGTTAAACGATGGTTATAAATCAATGTGAAGAATTAGGATTATTATTTACAGTTCATAGTTAAGGTCAAAAATCAAATATCGGGTTTTCATCATGAACTAATATCAATTATAATGATTAGACACTTTAATTAAATAAATGAATTAATTTCACGCTAAAATTCAAAAACCTTTTATCTTAAATCTGATTGATTCATCCATATATTATAGTCTCACAGAAAATGGAATTTTTAACACTTCACAACTATATCTGTCACTAATCAGATTGTATGATGATTATTATTGAGATAGAATACTCCTCTTTACACTCGTATATTCTCTGTTCATTGTATTTTATATTCACTGCTAAAACGACACACAACCTATGCAAAGTTATGAAATGTTAAAAATTCAGTTTTATGCTTCTCTTTTCATTAATATACTACTAATAATATTGTTAGTTTTAATTGTTTAAAACAATCAACCTATTGCTTAAATCGTTTGAAATTAACTTTGTAAACTGTTTATACTTATTGTTTGTTTGTTTGTTTGGTTGGTTGCTTGTTTGTTTGTTTGTTTGGTTGGTTGGTTGTTTGTTTGTTTGGTTGGTTGTTTGTTTGTTTGGTTGGTTGTTTGTTTGTTTGGTTGGTTGTTTGTTTGTTTGGTTGGTTGCTTGTTTAGTATTATGTCATCAATCAAGAACAATAGTTTATTAAAACACATTTATCATACGTATTGTCCATGCATATTTCAATATATTTCTATTATCATTATTCATAATTAAATCAGGTAAATTAATAATTACACCATTCATAGTAGTTTTATTCATGATTCGATAAGATAATTGAATACCAGTTAAACTTCCATCTAATAAAGTAAAATTTGATAAATTTGAATGAGCATTAATTGATGTTAAATGTAATTCTCTTTTACAATATGTTCTTGTTTGTATTGATTGATCATTGTGACAATATTTATTTGGCCATTTTGTTAAATGTGCATATACTATAGATGGATTTTGTTTAATAGAAGATATAATTTTAAGTAAATATAAAAATGGCATTTTCATATATTCATTTATATTCTTATCAATCAATGCAGGTTTATAAGTATACCTAAAATTAAAAGTAATACAAATAAAGAATTATCAGAATGAACTTTGTGGAGATTTTAGAAATGTCACTAGTTGAAATCATGAGTCAATTGAAGCTAGATCACCATCGTAAACCTGAAAACACTGGACGTCCGTTTCGTCCTAGTATGGAATTCTGCAGCAGTGCGCATTCCGCACCCCCCTCGACACGAGTTTCGAAAACAGGACCTATCAGTCTCTCACGCGAGTGCTTAATCATTAGACCACGAAATTGTGTCACTGTACACCATTGTCTTCAATGAGCTGATATCTCACAACAGACCTGGTTGAAATCCACTAGTCACTCATTCTCACTAGAACTGCAGGAGTGTCTGTTGAAGTCTGTCACTAGTGAGCAGATGTTTATTATGAGAAGGAGTTTTGTGGAGATTTTAGTACTAGGGTGAAACGGCTGTGCAGTGCTTCCATGTTTTCCATGGTGATCTACCTTCAATTGACTCATGATTTCAATTAGTGAAATAAAGAATTATCATTTCAGGTTAAAATAATATTCATTAATCCAATTGTCTACTGTAGTAACTATAATTTATGGATGACCTTTGAGAGACTCTAGACTGTCCTTGAGAGTGTCTACCTAATAACTAGGACCAAAGGTGGGCTATAACCTTGTGTAAGGAATTGGAATTATGTTTGACAGTTGATGATTAAGGTTAGAAATTATATTACAGGTTTTCATCATGAAGTGACATAAGTTATATTTCCAAAACTCTATTTAGCCAAATGGATGAGTGAATTTCGCGCCAAAATCCGAGACCTATTATCTTATACGTGATTGATTCGTCAATAAATTATAGTCTCGCCGATGTTTTACAATATTCTTTTTCCTCTCACACGTTTATTACAATAATAAGTAAATACGTTAATATGATTAACCACGTTATATCAGAACCAGAATTCACGATCCAAAATAAAGAAATAGATTAACACTAGATAATACCGTGTTCAGTACAATTACAAGCGATCACACATAGTGAGTTCAGAGTAGAAATCAGTGATAGGAAGGGAAATCATATATTTAATAATCTGTAGGCTGCGACTGTTTGTCCACACTCAATGAACAATCACACATTATGAGCAAAGATGAATAGTGGCTCATAGTGGAATTCAGGACGGGCGTTTAGTCCTCTTTGGGACTCTTCAGCTGGACGTACCCGCATCTCACAGTTGATGTTTTTACTGTAGGACTCGAACCCAGTACAGTTCGCTTCCAACATCATCGCGTTACCCACTTAGCTACTGAGTCCTGATAGCCACTTGATTTTGCAGGTACATCCAGCTGACGAGTCCCAAATGGAACGAAACGCGTCCTGGATCCCATTGCTAGCTACTATCCATATTCGCTTAAAAAGCTTTTGACTTAATGCTATATCGAGGCAATGCGCACAGGATACACACATGCCAACATGAGACTGATGAATTCTAGTCCTAAATACAAGTAAAACAACACCAAGTAAATCACACATTACTTTCAGTACCACATATGAAGTTATTAAAATTGAATTTGTCATTGTAGATTGATGTGAATCTAGATGAATTTTAATTTTTACACCGTGAACTAACTTTGCAGTAAGACAACCATGGGAAACTAGGAAGCTTCGGATAAACTGCTTCGTCCAAATCTAAAAATTTAAAACGAAATATCATTCTTCCACCCTCTAACATATTGCGACTTACTTATTAACTTACGCCTGTTATGCATCATGAAGAAGCATAGGCCACATATCAGCATTCGCCATTGAACTCTGTTCTGGGTAATCCTTTTCAGATGTTTGCAGTTGCTATTTATTCTTTTTGTCATATCCCGATGAGAATAATGAGCAGTAATTGTTGGAATCTATTTCTGAACTACTACTATACTTAAATTTTTATTGTATAATTGTTGAGTAAATAAACTATTCATATTCGTGTTCCTCTTATTATAAGCTTTATTTTGACCCATGAACTATTATTATACGATTTACAATTATTGAATCCAGTCTATCAATTACTACCCCCCACATTCACAGCCACTTTCGGCTAAATCTTGCACAAATGTTATTTTCTATTTTATGGTATGATGTGATCTGTGGTTTGGATATAAACCTAGGCTTATATTTGTGTTCTGAATTCAAAGGGCAAAGCTAGGCATGAAGTAGGACCTGTAAGGACTCTAGACTGCTCGTACAAGTTTTATGCGTCATTCGTCCAGTCGATAATTCAGTGCTCTCTAATTGGCTGTATCATCACGTTATACATTAACAGGGCACACAAGCAACAAGTTATAACACTTTTGACGTTTGATTCCAATTCCCGGTACAATGTGTTCCTTACGACTATAATTACACCAAATTATTGTGCTTTGAAACGTTTTCTACAAACCCAAATTTACATACGGTTTTCATCTTACTGAAATCTAACTTGAACTTTCCTGATATTTGCAATATTTCAGCTAAAATATTATGCAAAGTATGTGAATCCGGTGATTATTCTGTTATGGTTTTCAGTTTCATTTCAATAAAATAATTAACTGTATCTGCATTTATCTTACATTTTCAGTCTATTCAATCAACATCTATTGGACAAAAATAGTTGTTAATATTATTGTAGTGGACGCTGCTCACAAGAATGTTTGTAAGTAGTGTGTGGCGGAACGTGGCAATGAAATCCAACAATCGTCAGACGTAGTAAAGTATTTCAATGTATAGAAAGCTTGGGGTTGGTAGAACACTTGGAGGTCAGACGATAAGACGTTTGAGATGATAGAACACACCAAAAGATGCAAATGAATCATTGAAGGCTATGCATAAGTATTATGTAAATACATTGTAACTTTTCACGACAAATGCATATTCCTCCTTCCTATTGCGTTATCTTATAATATAACCTATGGAAAACACACTGATTTCATTTTGATTACTGACACTTCTATAAGTCCGTGAGATTTATATAGGTGAGCACGTTTCCCTATTCATTCCATCTTTCCTAATTTCTGAAAGTGCCGCGTAAAGATGAAAATAATCTGAAAAAACGTGCTGCACTTGTACATACCAAGACATTTATTTATTAAATACAAATGAAAATACCACAATGATAATACAATATAGAAAAGATCTAATGTTGTCATTCCAGTTCAAGTATCAAAAGGGACTGAAGATCACAAAAAAATAAATAAAGCTCATTGATTTGAACAAATTGTTTTTAAATTCAATTAAAAGAGACTTAAATACTTAAGCGATTAGGTCTTCCAAATGTGTCTTTCAAGATTTTCATAAAATGCTTTGTATAATGTTACAACCTTAACAATTGTGATCTTTTCAATGTTCTTTCTCTATTGAAAGTTATGATTATCTATTCAGTATATTTCTCGGAACATTTAACTCTGACGAATGTTGAACACAAAACTACAACTGGAATAAATCTACAGCAATCCGACGAAACTTTTGATTACAAAAGAAACAAGTCGAAATATTATTCAATACAAATCCCTTAAAGATTAAACCAAACACCCTTTCAACATGTTACTTTTGAAGTTCAAACGAAAGACAATTATATCCCATGAGAAATTGTCCAGGTAAGATTTCCTTCTCTGTAAATTCATAAATAAACACTCATGATATTCTATTACCCAATCTGTTACATCAACTCTGTTGAACATAATTAAACTACTTACCAAACAAAATCATAATTTGGTTCTTTTTGAATTCTCCATGGTTGAGTAGCGTAAATACCTTCACCATTTATAGATAACCATTCGCCTAATTGTAATAAACGTTCTTCATAAATAGGTAAAATTGTTCCCCATGAAGTTGGACCAACATTAATGAGAATATTTCCACCAAAAGTAACAGTCTCAATAACTTCAGAAATAAGTTGCTTAAAAGTGAAAATTGTGAAAGAATAAATTGGGGAATTTGAGGAAATCATAAAATTGATGTTATATTTAGAACTTGAATTTTTGCTTTACCGCGTACAACTAGTGCACTCAAACTCTTGAACCCTCCAAGTTACAAGTAAGAAGATAGAGAACGAGTGGAAAGGAGCCTTATTACAACCAGTGTCAAATATGATGCAAAACATTTGGGTATTTATAATTTTTTTAGTAAAAACGAAATCATCATTAAAATAATCCAATCCGCATGCAGTGGTTATTAGTTTGTCCAATCTGGAAGCTTCGCATCGAAATTCTGGAATTTTCTTCGGCTCTTTCAGAGCTTCTTAGAGCTTCCTTGAGTTCACTGAAAGCCGTCCCCACCGTTGGAAAAGAGACAATTTGTTAGTATATATCTTACGTTAAATCAACTAAACAGTTAATTTTAACGGTATTCCGTATGATTCTAACTATGAACGTGATTTAGATTAATCGTAGATCTATTGTTTTGTTTTCTCACAATGAAAATCACGAGTTAACCTAAACTAATGTGAAAATACTACAATCTGCACAAATCCCCATACTGATAACCATAGATCTAACCATTGCATCATTTAAAAAGAGTTTGCTCAACCATTCTTGTCATCTTGGCCATCAGTATAGGAGTAAGGTTTTAGATTCACTTTAATTAAACATTTTTCTTTCCAAAAATATCCAAACAATATTCTAATTTTTTCAACTTCTGTATTTTTATACATTTTGAACATTCGTTTGAATCTTGTGAGGCGGGGTCGGGGAAGCACATTGCTGTGGAATTTCACAATAGGACAAAATGGCCATCGAGTACTTACAGGTTTTCCATGGTGGTATAATTTCAATCAACTCATGATCTCAACTATTAAAATTACTATAATATCCATAAAACTCCTAATACTAATCTTACATAACTATTATAATACTTATCTTTCATCAAAATATTTTGTTAGGTCTTTTCATATATTATACAATATAGCAACTGTTTGATTTTTTGAATAATTACTCTCAATCATTCAATATTATTTTATAATCAATGTGACACTATGTATTACGTAATGCGACCACTCGGTGAGTATTACTTCGCTCGCTCGCTCTCACTATCCTTTTTGTTCGAATTTGCTTGATGTAATTGTGTCTTTATAATCTGAGCTATTCTATAATAAACTGTAATCAGTTCTTTATGTTGCTTTCTGGATTCATAAACTGTTGGGATTTATTTATAAACATTTATCAGGGTGATTGATATACGAAGCCTAATGAAATATCTCGAAGATATTCCATTACAGTTTATTTGCTTTATTTTTGAATTTTAATAGAAATACATAAAAATGTCTTTTATTTGAGTTATAAGGCTTAATCTCAGGATCAATAGACTGATTTAAAACAATTCAGGCAAGTTAGTTTCAATTTATGCACTAATCAATATTCTATGTTTCGGTTTCCATGACTTGATAACACCATCTATTACAGTTTTTTCTCAATACTAACTACCAATATGTACAAACCATTTACTAAATACATGGCATGGCACTCATTGTCTTTTGTTGACAATAACTATGTTACTCGAAATGTAGTCGAGTGATATTGAGCATAAATTCTTACTGAAACTTTATAGGAACATGACAACTCTCATTAAATATTGTCAATTACTTGAACTTAGATAAGGCTTAACATGAAAATTCTAGATTAAATCCTTTTTTCAATTCATGAGTGTTTGGTACCAAAGTGTCATATTTTACTGTATAAATTGAAGGGAAAAAAACAAACAATTTTAAGAAAATTTTTCACTTACTTCTGGTGTTAATATTTTATCTAAAGTTATTTCTCTTCTAAAACCCCATGAACAACAATCTAATGTCATACAATTTTCCCATTTATGTCTCACTAATTTACCAGGATGATAACGATCATCACATGAATAGTAACCTCCATGTTTACATGGGCAACCATTACCCCAACGATCATTTGTAACAACTGTATCTTTTACAGGTGATTCATTATATAACCAAGCAAGAAATTGTGTTGAATTCCAATATGTATCTGGACCAGCATCACCATCAGACCAAATCACTTCTGGTTTATAACGTAATACTAAATCATATAATTCTGGCATTGTTTTTTGTTCAACAAATGTCTATAAATTCAAACAATATAGATAGGTTTATAATTTATAAATTTAATATTAAAAAGTATTTGTGTCTTGTGTTTGAAGGTAGTAAATTAGAAATTCCAAATGTAGATTTCGTGATAGCAGTTACATATCAATAAAGCATATTGGGAATTTGGTTGGGACTGATATTCCCTAATGGATTAAAATTTGTTTCACTCAGTTTCACAATCTAATAAATTACCACTAACCTAGTCATGGTGCTGAGTGACCTTTTCTATGACCGATATATTAGCAACTGATTGCTTACTGAGTAGTGACCAAGTTCATATTTGTCTAGTACTGATGATTATCTCAAAATACCTGACCCTTCAATATACTACTCGCGATGTCGATTTATTAAGTTTAGTGGCCACATATCAACTTGATAGGTAGAATTCGATCAGTACTAAAAGATAAGATAAAAATAATATTAGCCATTATTTAGTGAACAATCGGTGTATCTTATAGTAACTCATAAGTAGTTAGTCGCGGCCTGAATAGTATTGTAATAACATCTTAGATTGTGAAACTGTATAATATATATAACACTCGTCACTGGTCAGTGATCAATCAATAGTCTAAAGTATTTGAAATAAAAAAAAACATTTATGAATGTGAAACGTCCGGAATTTTGGCAACGTTATCAGTTTCCACATAGTCCTACTACATGTGAACAGTTGATATAAATCATTAAACATTTAGGTCGCACATTCATCTATACAATTACCATAGGTATTCGAATTTCTTTATAACTATTAAGAATGAATTAACTTTCATCTATCTATTTGCATATTGTCGACTGTTGCATATTTTAACGTCTTATCTCATTAAACTTGGAAGACAGGCACATGAATGGAGAAACACAGTTTTAAGATATTAATCAATTCATTTTGTCTGACAGATGCATTTGATTCAATTTTCAATCTCATTAGTATGACTGCGTACAACTAAGCCCAGTTTTATCCGAGAATTAATTTTGTTTAAATATTTAAATGGTGTCCATATACAAGTTACCTTAAAAAAAAATCATTTGTTTCCCTAATAAATTATTATAATAGAACAATAAAATATAACTACTTAGTAACCGAAATTGTTGAAATGATAAAATCAATACATTCCCAATTCAATGTTAATAAATGTTGAGGAGTCCCACAATAGGATGAAACGGTTGTCTAGTACTTCAAGGTTTTCTACGATGGTCTAATTTCAATTGATTCATGATCTCAACCATTGAAATATTTTCAATAAATTTCAGTTGATTTCATTGAATTTCTTATATATTTATTCTTATTTATGCACATCTATAAAGTATTCTGCTTTCTCTAAATTTATTGATTATACCCTATATGAATATTAATTACATTGAATGTGACTATATACATATAACTAAGATGATACAGAGTAATAATTAATCAATAAAAATGTGTACACAATACATGAACATATTTGTTTCAATAAAACTTGTAGATTAATTCATATTAAATATCATTTGGATAAAAGATATTTTCTGTCTCGAATCGATACCATTGAAAACTCCGTAGTACTAGTCTATAAATTTTGTTTCATTTTCGGAATCCTCATCGGTACATTTCTAAGATCTCACACACGATTGAAACCCAATACCTTCAAGTCTTTCAGATGAGACGTTACATTCTAGTGGAATATCTAATTCCATTTGGGTCATATGAATGATTGTTATTAAATGATTACTGTCGGAACATACATGTCGTCAATCCTTGCATATAATTATCGTAATTAAATAAGTCAAATACGAGAAAGGGATTTTTGAATACCTAAATTGTGGACAATCCTTAATTGGGAAGCGAAGCAAAACAAAATGACACGCAACGGAGAAGGCGAGTGAGCCAAATCCGTTTAACCAAGCCTGTTTACATATTTATGGTCGAACAAAAATAAGTTACAGACCCATAATGAGTAAGATCAGTAATTAACACATACCAGGACGAAACGGCCGTCCAGTGCTTCCAGGTTTTCAATGGTGGTCTAGCTTCAACTGACTCATGATTTAAAAACCTGTGAAATTTCGTAAATTCTCCACAAAACCCATTCTGATAATAATAATAATCAGCTGCTCACTAGTGACTGACTTCAAGAAAAGCTCCTGGAGTTCTAGTGAGAAGCCGTTACCAGTGGAGTTCAACCGGTCTGTTGTGAGATAACAACTCACTGAAGACGATGGTGTACGGTGGCGCAACTTCGTGGATTGGTTGAAGTTAGACATTAACACCGTTGGATGCCGGCTCAGTGGTCTAATGGTTAAGTGCTCGCGCGCGAAGCCAGTAGGTCCTGGGTTCGAGCCCCGCGTGATGCGGGATCGTGGATGCGCACTGCTGAGGAGTCCCATACCAGGACGAAACGGCCGTCCAGTGCTTCCAGGTTTTCAATGGTGGTCTAGCTTCAACTGACTCATGATTTAAAAACCTGTGAAATTTCGTAAATTCTCCACAAAACCCATTCTGACATATATAACTATATAAAAAACAGAATCAATAAGCTAATAAGTGACAGGATAAAAATGTAGCTTCAGAAGACTGAATAGATTAGTCTGTCCAGAGGCTAGAATAACCTATATGGGCTTGACGTAGTACCAGGCCCTACTAATTTCGATCACTGAGTTGAAATCAGTCTGGTTGATCTGATACATAGCTCAATCATAATCCAATAATATTGATAACATATGCCTTAATTTACAAATCAACATCCCTTTTCACTAGAATTTTGAGAATTTACCTCGAAGTTAATCAGTGGGTGCACATAAGTGTTTAGTTAGATAAGTAGTTATGGTGTGTCGTCCACGTTGGAGATAGTTCTGCTAATTGGATCGACATCAAATGACGATGAAAAAAAACAACTAGGGATTAATATATAGCCATTTCGTCTCAATGAGAAACATCTCAGTAGTAAGCAGTTAAAACGCTACTTCCAACCGAACATATAAAATATAAGTCCCATAGCGAGTTCATATATCTACATGATTAAATTGAAATTCAATAGTTTTAATTAACTATTTGTATGTTTTCTCAAAATTCACTACGTAAATCCCGCAATCTTAACTGAATATTGTTGAGTAAAAAAATATAATTCAAGAACATTTGTTTTTCAGACGTGATCAAGATTAGAAATTTGTCTTTGAAGTGCGTAGGAACTAAAAGTTAACGATGTTACCATGTATTATTTCGAATATGTCCACTAAATAATAAAAGAGGACGTACATATAAAAAAAAACGTTTACCCAATTATTAGACAGACAAATATAACCTCATATCCGTATGGGGGTTGTGGAGATTGTTGAGTTTTGATTAGGATCATGAATTGATCGATATTAGACCACCATTGAAAATCTGGAAGCACTGAATGGCCGTTTCGTCCTATTATGATGGTCTTTAGTAGTACGCATTCACGATCCTCAACGTGGGATTAGAACCCAGGACATTAGGTCTCGCGTGTAAATGCTGTAAATATCCACACACGAGATATAAACCAGTAGTTTTATTGTGATGGAGTATGATAGAACTCTGTCATCTTAACATTTTATTACTTTACATAAAATGACCAGTATTTTTTAGCTGGATTTAAAGAAAAACCCAGAATCATTTGCTCAATACATAAAGTTTTAATGAAAAACAAAAAAATGAGGAATGAATCAACTCACTTGTGTTGTAAAGTTATTTGCTTTATCGTACAAATATAATGGATTAAACCATTCAAATAAGGAATGATAGACACCAAATCTTAATTTAGTTCTTTTACGAATAGATGTAGCCAAATCACCGACCAAATCACGATTTGGACCAATATCCATTGAATTCCATTGCCATGAATTAATAGACGGCCAATTACAAAAACCTTCATGGTGTTTCGCAGTAAGTACTACATAACGTGCTCCTGATTTTTGAAATAAATCAGCCCATTTATCAGGTTCAAAAAATTCCGCATGAAATTGTTTTGCGAAATTGGCATATGCAAAATCTGGTTCATAATATTTACGCATATATTCCGGTATTTCAGGCATTGTTGTTTTGTCACCTTGCCACATCCACCAAAACCATTCAGTCCTGTAGTGTGAGAGAAAAAGGGAAAAATTACCGAGAAAACCAATCAAATGTCACTCACAGTGTGACCTTATATCATTCACTGACTCTAGTTAGAAAATGATTATGAACAATAAACTGATGTACAGTGAAATATTTCGAGTAATAGCTACTCCAACAGCGTCAATCTATGACTCCACTAAAGTCCGAAGCCAGGCGTTTTGACTTGAGGAGTGCGTTAAGTAGGTTAGGACGAATTGTCCTACATTTCCAGCTTAAATTAATTGATGATTTAACATCGTCAAAATCCAATTGTGTTATGAAACAGGTAGAGTCTTCAACCATGCCTAGGGTGCATCCAGCATCATTGATGTTATTAGATGATCTTCATGTCCCTACCTAAACTCAACTGAATTGAAAATGTGAACCTTTGGCTTTTCACTTCGTAGTTAAAGTTTAAGTTCTCACCTGATGAACATAATGTTCAAACTTCAAACTAATGTTGTATAGTAAGTATGCGCTACTAAACTATATGCTAGTACAAAATAGGCATTTAATCCTTTCTGATTTTTACCAGTATCACTAATGGTTCCAGTAAATGATGCAAACCAACTACTGATTAAAATAATCGGCACAAAATCTTTCAACCAGATTCATGAGAGTATAACTGCTAAGATATTTATTACACTTCATTCCCTCGAATATAGCAGGAACTAAGAATTGAGCAGGGTAACATGAATTCATTTTTTATTTCGTTAGATTCTCATCAGCTACTTACAACCTATAATATCAAAATTATTATAAAGTTTACATATTTATAACAATAAAATTGGCCATGTATCATCATGATGCAGTAATCAGATCAAAGATATATAAAAAGTATTGTGAATCAATATAATATGCAATAGCAGATTCTTAATCATCAGATCAAAGCGATACAATAATAGTTTTATTATGTAACGAAGGAGTTGAACAAAGAATTGTATTAATTAAAAGAACATGAGTTGAGACTAGACAATTAAGAAGCCATATAGTCAAAATAAGAGAGAGAACAATCCTAAGAATGGTGTAAAAAAACTGACGATAAAGTCAGCATGGTAAAGAAAGATTTACAACTGCATCATATTGTATACATAAATCCCGCTTGAGGCATTTAATGGCTATGATTCCAGTGAATTTGAGAAGAGTGATACTGAGTTGTCTATTGATGATCCTGAACGATTTCAGTTTATCAACCTATGTCACAGTAATGTTTTGCATTAGTACTGATAAAGGTCTCTAATCCTATTTACCTGGAGCTTTTTGGAATCGAACGTACGTCCTTCATTCTGTTCTACTGATGTGACTGTTTTGACAGTTACGTGTAACAATTATCGGTAACATGAAAGGGTTACATAATGAATTTTGCTTGAAGTAAATAACATATTGTTTTATGCATGATGGTCAGCCTAGCTGCACGATACGTTCTGGTCAGTATTTTTTAAAAATCTTCTGTCTATTGCCGCCTCAATATCGTCACCTTTTAGTCCAAGTTGAATGAAAAAACGTTTTTTTTGTCTACTTTGGTTTCTTTAGGTGTTTTATCGTTACTTTTGCCAAATTCTTTAAATACTTGTTATTCCTTAGAAGTCTTTAAAACATTCATTAATTCTGCTTCTTCAAACTCTTTAACCCACTTAATTATTGAACCGAAATGGTCACCTAATGTAAAATATAAAACCATTTCAATTCACAAAATAAACTGTTATCATTTATAAATGACCATATTTAGCTATATGGAAATCTACATATTTATATCATCTTAGTATCAATTAACATCATGAAAATCAACCAGTGATTAATCAGTTGTGATTACATCTCAGTCTTACAGGAGGTCGGTCGTGGCTCGGATAGCTCAGTGTTAACGTCTCTGACTGTGAAGCTGGGTGACATGAGATCGAAGCCGTCAGGGGGCACCAGTTCCCTCAAGATTACAGGTACACCTTGCTGACGAGTGCCAAGTAGCACGAAACCCGGGTCCAGGGTTTCCTGTCGACTACCTCCAACCACCATCTAATCTCAATATATATAGTGCCTGCAGTGTCAAGTCACCTAGACTGGTGGCCATATTGCAACATGATCGATAGCACTCGATCTGCACTACTAAGGACTAGGCACGCATGACATTTATCGCCACCCAGTGATCAATCAATTGTGAAAATCAACAATTACTATCCTTCATTACTAATGGATGGAATTAAAAACCATAAGTAACATGAAAACTAATTCAACCAATCTACATAATTTATTTTAGTTGTGATTTTTTGAAATAATTCGACAAGTTGCTATAAACATAGAGTTTTAAGTTGTCAAGGTAACATGTCTGTTGAACTCTAAATTATCATATTTATTGAATAATAAATAACTTCCCAGTATATTTGAAACCAGAAAGGTTGAATTATATTTATATATTCTATCGGTTACTTCATATTCAAGAATAGATTTAATTGAATAAATTATCTATAATTAAGTTGAATAGGTTAATAGTTGTCTGACTAGTCAGTTCATATTGTGAAACTAAAAACTTTTACAATCTGAATAACTTTATATTAATATAGTTCGTCATGTGCTTACTAACAACCAACCTTGAAGGTTAATTACCAGAGTTCCAATGAGAAACCATAGTCATTTAAGTTCACCTAAAGACTACCCATGATAATGAATAAAAGTCGTACTATAATTACTGAAGTTTGAAATGTTGAACCATTCATCTAACAGTTAGGGGCTTTTAACAAAGTCTGATTGTCATGGATTTCATCTCAAGTGGATTTCATAACAAGAAATAAAGTTCCCGTGTTTGATCCCTGGTGAGATTTTGGATGGTTATTGATGAAGAACCCAATATCAAGATGAGAAAGTTATCCAATGCTTTCTGACTTCCAACGGTTTTCTAATTAATATCAGTCAGTGATGTAGACTACAAAATTCAATAGTCTTCAAAAACCCATATTTAAATAATACTAATAAGTTCACTTGGTATTGATTGTTTGAATCTTCCCATTGATGTTTAGGACCGAAATTGATCAGTCACTTATCAGTATATGTGCATACTGTGAGTTTTGCCTCGATATAGCCTTAATTCACAAGCATTATATGCAAAGATGGATAGTGGCTATCAGAGGAATCTACGACTCGCGTTTCATCTTATTTGCAGTCCTAAACATCAATGGGAAGATTCAAACAAACAATATCAAATAAATTTCAACTTCACCCCATTACATAAGTAAGTAACTATCATAACTCAGTAGCTAAGTAAATAACGCGATGACGTTTAAAGCGAACGATACTGAGCTCGAATCCTACAGTGAATACCAACTCTGAGATGCAAATACACCCATCTGACGAGCTTCAAATAGGACGAAATGCGCGTCCTGAATTTCACTGCTAGCTACTATCCATCTTTGTATATAAATACTAATAAGGTTACAAAAAGTTACATCGAACTTATCATACTATTTAATAGTATATTGATTAAGTGACATACATGCAAACAATTATCTTTTTCAGTGATTTATAAACATTCATACATTCCAATGAATTTATTGAAACCAATATTGGTATGGAATTAAGAATGATAAAATTACAAATACACCAGAATATTTATTATAACATTAAATAATCAATAAATAATAATAGTAATCAAATCAATAATTAAGTTCCTAGATGTAGTAGTTATAGATTTAAGTGATATTGTAAAGTTATGACTGTGTTTATCAATAATCAGCTGATATGAAGAAAAGCATTATTCAAAATATAAAGGAATGATTGTTTTATCTTTTCTACAAAAATAAACTGTGTTAGTAAATCAGAGATTTGGCAGTCATGTTAATTAATATCACCATCTTGAAATATCGGCTTCGATAACTCAGATATCTGCTATGAATGCACATTATACGTTACATTTCAACCCTAGAACTAGTTGGTAAAAGAGGAGAGGTGGTCAGTATATGAAATACCATCATAATATGAAAGAAAACTTTATAGAACTGGTATCTGTTGGTCCTTTAAAACTCTCTGGTTGGGGTCCTGGAGATAGTGTAGCACAATAGCCTGAGGAGTTATCAGACATGATTCAGGAAAGGAAGCCAGTAGCTACCCTGATGTAATTTTCCTCTGTTTTTCTCATATAAGTCAGTAGAAATTTATTGTTGTTGATAAGATTCTTTCTATTTGTGAACTGCTTCTTCCATAATTCGTTACTGTCATTCACTTGTTTTTATTCATTTATTGTTTTTTATTATATTCCCCTTCCTTCATCTACCTCTTCATAATCTCACTTTTTTATTAAATAGCGCGTTGTTATTTTATTCTCCATAAGTACCAATAGTTATGTATTCGAATAAATAAACAAGTACGGGATGAGGTTGCTAACCCCATGCCCAATCCTCCTCTTTTATTCGGGCTTGGGATCGGCAGTAGCCCCAGAGGGGCTCCAGGTGAAGTTAAGTGACCAGTACTACAGATTCATAAATGCACCATTACTGAATGCTCGGTTGAACCCTTCAGTGAAATACTTAAGTGTCTTTTGAATTCATTAAATTTAAGTGACTTTTTGTCTAAAATATGTATAAAATCTTAAATTAAAAACTACGAAATTCCCTGTGATTTACAGTCTACACCAGATATGACATACATTTCAAATTCTACTTACTAAGTCTACAATTCAAAGACCCATTATTAAGCTTAATTGAAAAAGTAATTTAATAATGATAACTAGCTTGAAGAAATATTTTCACCATCTTCTAAGAGTGGAGTCTTCACTTTCATAGAATATTTTTGGAAGACTAAAAGACATAATTAGATTGATTTATAATTCAACGATGTTAGTCACTATTGAATTATGCATGAATTATTTAACTTAAAAGTGTATTCTACCAAATAAATCAAGAAATTTTACACAGTATTTTAATCTGTATGAGTTCACGGTACTTTTCTTATTAGAATTACAATAAACGGTTAACTTCCATTGATATGATTCATAGTAAAATGGTTTGTTTGAATAAAATAGTGGCAATAATCGGGCATCCGTTATTAGTTAGTGTCATATAATCTGTTCCACAAAACATGATTCACGACCTTATTAAGAATTAAGACATTAAGACATTCAATCATCATGAGAATCACCGATCGTTTAAACCTCTGTTTTGCCATCCTATTGTTCACATTTCTAACTTCAGTCAATTATCGATATTACACCACAGTCATACGTCATCATTTCAATAGCTGCCTGATTAAAGACGATTCGTAATCAAAAACTATAAAGTCGAACTGTCTCAACGATACCTTATAATAAAAATTATTATTTATTGAAAAATTACTGTTAAACATAATTCATATTACATTTACAGAAACATTTTACGCTAGTTTAGAGTTTATATGAAGATATATTAGTCAGAATTGATGAATATTTTCACAGTTGGATTCACGAGTCAATCTAAGCTAGACCACCATTGAAACATACCGATAATAATCATGTGCTCACTAATGACTAGCTTCAAGATGAGTTTCCTGTAGTTCTAATGAGAAGCCGTGACCAATGGAGTCCAATCCTTGTCGGGTGGAAACATTTATCCACCTCAGATGATAGATGAAGAATTGCACACAATCATGGATTGATTGAAGTTAGAAAATAACACCGGTGGATGCTGACTCAATGGTCTAAAGGTGATTGATATACAATGCTGATACATGTTCATAACAACTTTCAACCAACGTGATTAGTACATTCATCTTCAACCGATTGAGATGAACCTAACTCTATACAATTAGTACATGTTATTTTACTGTCCAAAATTTTATTTTTGTCTTCTTCAAGATAATAAAGGGAACTGTACACATGACATTTCTTATCAGTAGATTAATAAGAACTCATTCATATTTTTTCTCCCGATATAACATCAATACTTAATATAAAGAAACTTTTTTAAAAAAAAATGTCTTTTAACTGTTCTATTTGTTATATTTGGACGAAGAATAGATGAAGGGTAACTGCTAGGATCTATTTATGGGCTGATGTTATATATGTATATATTCTTATTGGATAACAGTTAAGTAACTATGTTATATGTATATTCATATTTCTTTTATTATAAGCTTACGTTTGACCAATTCACTACTAATATACGATTTACTGTATTTAAGTTATTCCTAATCTCTTAGTTACAATATCTCACACTCACAACCACTTTCGACTTGATCTTGTATAATTGTTATTTTCTATCCTCTAGTATGATGCAGTCTGATTTGCTCGTATATATATTGCCTATGTTCGATATACATGATTCATATATCGTAGGCTGATATTGGTGTTCTAGACTCAAACGGGAACGGCTAGGCCAGAGGAACCATATGAACTCAGAGTTGACTCTAGGCTTCTCATATTGGTTAGTGCGTCATTGGTGTGCTCCTACAAATAGGTGTTTCTATTGGCGATTTAGTCACTTAATATATTAACAGGTCATATGGACATAACACTATCCATAGCTATCTTTTTTCACAGCACTCTTATCGGTATAACTAAATTTCATACTAATTCTAAATGTATAAAAATTACACTAGTTGAAATCACGAGTCAATTGAAGCTGGACAACCAAGGAAAACCTGAAAACACTGGATGGACGTTTCATTCTAGTATGGAACTCCTCAGCAATGCGCATTCATAATCCAGCCTTCCGCAAGAGCCATACCTTGGACCTATCAATCTCGCGCACTAGCGCTTAACCACTAGACCATGGAGCCAGCATCCAACGGTGTTAGTGTCTCACTTCAAACAATCCATGAAATTGCGCCACCATACACCATTGTCTTCAATGAGCTGATATTTCACAACAGACCTAGTTGAATTAACTACGAAATCACCATCCACAACACATTATAATATCTTCAATTCTATAATAATAATTCATTATCAACATAGATACATTAAAATAAGTTTAATCTAAACTAAACTAAATAAATATGAATCTTTTCAGTTATTGAATGTTGATAATAATATTCATGAATTACTTACCTATAACTAGGTACAGAAAATACACCCCAATGTATAAATATACCAATTTTAGCTTCATCATACCATTTTGGTAATGGACGTTTATCTAATGAATTCCAATTCGGTTCATAAATAATTGATTGATTTATTGATTTTGAATTGATATTACAATTGATTTTAATGATATAATAAATGAATATAAATAGTATATGATAAAAGAATTTGTTCATAATTTGTAATGTATTACATTAACATGATTTCATATTTATGGTATAGAATAATGATTGTGTAACCAATACATTCATTGTAATATAAATCATTGAATGAGATTGGATACTTTTATACTGACCTTGTTTATAGTCGTCATATTGAAATGAATTGAATATCATGTAAATCTTTATACATGTGATGTGAATTTAGTTTTATAGTGTTAATTGTTATAAATTGTGATTTGAACTAAGCATTTTAATAAACAAAACATTATAGTGTGATGTCGGTTATTTATATCCATATAAGTAGTATATAACGATGATCGGGTATAGAATGTATTTCAGTAGAAGATCGATAAGGAAAATAAACGGGACCGGAGCGCAATTAGTATGAAGATACATAAACAATGAAATCTGAGACAATAGACTGATATTTGCAAAAGGAACAGTGAAGTTTCAGACAATGGATTGATGTTAAATGGTGGTTGGTGGTAGTCGACAGGAAACCCTCGATCCGGATTTCGTGTTACTTGGCACATTGCAACATGATCGATAGCATTCGATCTGCACTAATAAGGACTAGACACGCATGACATTGATCGCCACCCAGTGACCAATCAATTGTGAGTCAAGTAAGGTCTTCAGAATAATTTCAAATGATAAGCTTCTAAAACTATATCATTAGAACCAATCTATTTGATCATTGGTATTAATCAATAGAACTATGGATATAATTTACAGTTCCATTTAATTAAATAGTTATAAAGTTAGAGATTGTCATAATTATTTTTATTTTTCAGTAATATGAACTTGTTATAAGACAACTAATTAATAATGAATTCCGGGGGAAAAAAAGTTTTTTTATCAATGATTATAAACCATGGTAACAATAAATATGCGGTTTCATAACTTGAGAGAAACTAAGAAATTCTATATAAATAATAAATAGATATGTAAAATAATATGGGATAAAAGTCTTTTTTTTCTGTTTCCTATTATTTGTTCATGTATTGTTCTCTTATTAATGAAAAAAAAGATGATAAGTTTGAATCTAGTTTGAAGATCCTTTTTTTCCCCACGAAATCGATACTTAATAGGTATTTACTTATTCAGAATATGATCGTTTACAGTAGGCTATTGATATAATGTATTCATTTATCGATTGGAATATCGGTATGGATTTATATAAAAACTTGGTCATTTAGTCATATCCAATATAGAATATGGCATACAGGTCCATTACCTTAAGTTGACATAATATATAACTATTGGAAACAGATATGAAAAGGATTAATAGAAACTGGAAACAATTAGAAAGGGTTACCTAGGACAGAGTTGGATGGAGAATCCTGGTGACCGGTCTATGCTCTTCCATGAGAGGTAACAGACGTAAGTAAGTCAGTAATATATAATTATAATTAGATGCTGGAATAGTAGAACTATTATTAGTATCAGAGGTAACAGAAAATATTATTTATTGATTGATTGATTTGTTAGAACACATAAATATTGGTACAAAGAGGCAACGAATACATATGCGCCACACAAGTCACTTGATTTTTTTGTGGGCTGCAATACTGCCCGGGCACTTAGACTGGGCCAAGCCCAGAGCCTTCGACCTAAAGGTCTGATCCACAAGGCAATAGAGCGACGTCAGGATATGCAGTTCCATGGTAGCCAGTGACCGATAATTGGTTCATACACCATTTGTTCCCTCAGGATCCTGGAGACCATGTGTACCATTGGTTTGGAATAAAGGTTTTACAACTCCCCTAGATGGACCCTTCGTGTCCACCAACCCGGTTAAAGCACCGGACATTTGCTTTTCCTCTTCTCAATTTCGTAAACAACATCCATACATCGGGTAGGCAGTGAGTAGGACTTCCCTGGCAGAGGTTGTATGTGCGTGATCATATGAAAGCATTTGGAGAGGGAGAGCTGACTCTCCCCCGTCGTCCGTACCAGAGCATTTGGGGGAGGTAGAAAAGATTAGGTATAAGCAATATGATCAGAGAAGAAAGGATGAGTTTTTGAAACAAATAATAAACCCATGATGATAAAGAATGAGTACATCTGGATGATTGTAATTGATTTTGACCCATGTCACTCAACATCTTCAACCATTGGTTACAGATCAACTTCAAAATGTGAAAATAGACTGTGAAAATAACTGATTAAGAGAGAAGAAGAACTGTGTTCAATTATTCATTGACTGAAAATATTACTTACTTATTTACACCTGTTACCCTTGTTTAGAACAGGCCGCCGAATGTAATTCTCCAACCAACTCTGTCTTGAGCTCTTCTTTCCAGTTGTTTCCTAGTGATATTCATTCTTTTGAGTTCTGCATTCAACTCCACAAGTAATATGTTCACTGGTCTGCTTCTTTCCCTTTTGCCTTCAAGATTTCAATTTAGGTCATGTCCTATGATTCAGTTAAATTATTTCCACAATGTGTAGCCTATCCATCACAAGAGTCGTTTCCTAATTTCCTCTTCAGTTGAAGAGTATCTTGCGCAGACGATTGTTTATAAATACTTGTACATTTTTGATGATTTTAGTAGTTCTCCAAGAACTATGTTTACGTTCGAATTGAAGACTCTGACTTTGATGTTGATTAATAGTTGTTTTGAGTTTGATATGCTCTTCGATTGTAGGAATGCTACACATAATTTGCCAATCTTTGCTTTCACATCTTCATCAGATCTCCCTTTTTTATCAATGATGCTGCCCAGCCTGTATTCCTTCTAGAGTTACTGCCGATCCAAAGCCCAGATAAAGAAAGAGGATTGAGTACAGAAGTAGCAACCCAATCCAGTAGAAAACAACCTTGCTAAAAAAACGATAACCAGAAATAATCAATGTAAACACTCGGCATATATATTAAATAATAATCTACCTGTTCAGTTACTTTATGCCTAGAATTTTATAACAACTTAGCGTTATTCGTTACAAATCCCAACACGTTTTTCAGTTAGCCACTGAATTCAGACACCCATTTACCTGTGTAGCGAGTATGAACTGTAATCTAATTTGTAGTGTTTTTATTCATCCTTATGTTGGCTCTATGAACTCACTAGCCAAGTGGATAACTTATTTGTGTTTAAAGCAAAATATACTGGGTTCGAATCCTCGAGTGAATATCAACCGTGGGATACATGTACGTCCTGTATTTCATTGTTAGTCACATTCTATCAGTTCTACATAAATTTATACCATAATGCCTGTATCGAAGTAATCCACACAAGATGCACACATGCCATCTTAAACTGATCAAAATTCAATCAAAATATCAATAACGGGATAATCCAAACCATTTGCCCCCTTATTTTTATCGTCATTTAGATCGGACGATGTTTGGTAACGGGCTCTTTACTTTAGTGGCCCGAGATCTGACTCCAAGTAGATCATATGAATGTTTGTTATTGCCTATCCTTGTATATAATCATCGACTTAAATGGCGTTAGTGAACATCGGAATTAAATAAGTTAAATAACGAGAATAGACTTTTGAATATATATATTCTGTATATGAAGCAAAAAGAATAGAGAGAAGCAAAACGTCGTTCAATCGAGATTGCGGGTTACTTACTTACTTAAGCCTGTTACTCCTCGTCAAGGAACATAGGCCGCTCACCAGCATTCTCCATCCAACCCTGTCCTGGGCAATCCTTTCCAGTTCCTTCCAGTTGTTATTCATCCTTTTCATATCTGCTTCTATTATCCGACGCAATGTGTTCTTTGGCCTTCCACTTTTCCGTTTCCCTTCACGATTCCAAGTTATTGCTTGCCTCGTGATTCAGTTTGACGATTTGCGTAATGTATTTCCTATCCAATTCCATCGTCTTTTCTAATTTGTTCTTCAGCTGGAAGCTGGTTTGCTCTCTCCTACAGAAGGATATTGCTGATGGTATCCGGCCAATGGATGTTGAGTATCTTGCGTAGACAGCTATTTATAAATACTTGTACCTTCTTGATGATGGTTGTTGTAGTTCTCCAAGTTTCAGCTCCATACAGTAGAACTGCCTTGACGTTGGTATTGAAGATTCTTACTTTGATATTGGTTGAAAGTTGTTTTGAGTTCCATATGTTCATTAACTGTAGGAATGCTGTCCTTGCTTTGCCAATCCTTGCCTTTACGTCTGCATCTGAACCTCCTTGTTCATCGATGATGCTTCCCAGGTATGTGAAGGATTCTACATCTTCCAGAGTTTCGCCATCAAGAGTGATTGGATTGTTGTTTTCCGCTTTGAATTTGAGGACCTTGGTTTTCACCTTGTGTATTTTGAGACCTACTGATGCAGAGACTGCTGCTACACTAGCTGTCTTTGTCTGCATCTGTTCATGTGAATGCGATAGGAGGGCTAGGTCATCTGCGAAGTCCAAATCGTCTAATTAATTTCGAGCTGTCCATTGAATTCCATGTTTTCCTTCAGATGTCGAGGTCTTCATAATCCAGTCGACCACCAGAAGAAAGAGGAAGGGAGAGAGTAAACAGCCTTGTCTGACTCCGGTCCTTACTTGAAATGCATCTGTCAGCTGTCCTCCATGCACGACTTTGCACTGTAGTCCGTCGTATGAGTTCCGGATAATGTTGACAATCCTCTCAGGAACTCCGTAGTGTCGAAGTTTCCATAATGTCCTCCTATCTACACTGTCGAATGTTTTTTCATAATCAATGGAGTTGATGTATAGTGATGAGTTCCACTCAACTGATTGTTCGACGATGATCCGTAGTGTTGCAATTTGGTCTGTGCATGATCGATCTTTACGGAATCCAGCTTGTTGATCTCGAAATTGGGCGTCTACTGCATCTTTCATCCGGTTCAGCAACACTCTGTTGAAGACGTTCCCTGGTATTGACAGCAGTGTAATGCCTCTATAGTTCTCACATTTGCTCAGATCTCCTTTCTTTGGAATCTCTAGGTTTAGTTATATAAAAAACGCCTTATTGTTGTAATGAATAAAAAAATAACTACCCATTGTTATTTATAATCTACAAAATAATGTATATGTGTGTGTTTGTTTCTCTAAATGCCGTTTTACAACCAATTTGCTAGGAACTAAGTACTCACTTGGTTGTTTGAATGTAGGCTGTTCTTGTTTTTATAAGTTTGTTTTTCATCCAATTGTTACGAAGATCCTTGATGTAAAATCAAAACGGAAAAGTGATGAGTAATGGGATATGAAGTGTACACACTTATGCGCTCATATAAAAATAGTCAAGATTGATAAGCGGATAATTAACAAGGTCAAAATGTAACTCATGTAGAATGAATAGAATGGGCTGTCAGAAAGCTAGAATAAGGTATATGAGCTTAACATAATAACCGATACTACACCATTACAAATTAAATTTTAAATCGATTTATAACTCAAAACATGCATGATTCTATGTGACTATTATTCGAAATAGTAGTAATTATTATCGACTGACATTTCGTTGACATAAGTCTGTATCTTTACTACTGATTCCTTCTTTTAGCCGCTTGATCAAACGTTCATGCTGACTTTATTTTAATTTCTCAAATATTATGATTAACCTGGTTTCTGAGTAATCACAATATGAATACGTGTTAATCATGTTGCAAAACAGTACACAATTAATAGTGAAATTTATAGTA